GAGGAAGAGAGAGAGAGAGAGAGAGAGAGAGAGAGAGAGAGAGAGAGAGAGAGAGAGAGAGTGAGTGAGACCGACATGAGTGAGTGAGAGACATAAAATGTAAATGAGTATGAATGTGAGTATGAATTTGTAGATTAGTAAGCAAGTAAGAAAGAAATGTAGATGTATTTTTAAGATGTATTGTATATAAGGGAAGTCCGTGTAATCACGTTGGTGAGCACGTAATAAACTACTACTACTACTACTACTACTATATTTCATTTCTTACAAATTTAATATCATTAAAGAAATTATCCTTTATGTCGAAGGCAGAGTTGACATATATTTTATTCAATTTATAATAAATTAATGACTTATCACAAATTCGTAAATTTTAATATATTGTTATGAGGTGATTATTAAATTCCACAAAACTTACAGGGTGTCTGGTAAGTTTTAACAAAGCGCTCGTATATAGATAGAGCGGACTAAATTGAATCGAAAAATCCTCTATCATTTTGCAATTTTCGTAACTTTTTTTTCAGTTATTTAAGCAGAATGTCTAAAATTGTATAAAACAACTTTAAGATATCGGCTTTTAAGAGCTTTTTAAGAAACACTTTAAGATATTTTATAAAGAGAGAACTCTAAAAGAAATCTTAAAGTTAAATCTTACGTCGATTTTATCCGTTATTATTCGACAATCTTTAGAAATTAATATCTTGTTGACTATTGCGAAAATTGCAAAATGGTAGAGGACTTTTCGACTCAGTTTAGTCCACCCCCCGGTAAAAAATTTTTTATGAATGAATATGTATATAAACACGCATAAATATTCATAAACATGTATAATTATATATGAAATATGTCCACCAATATGTAAACTTGTTTTTTTCTAAAACAAACAATGCGAAAATTATCTCTTTAATTATCTTTTATATTTTTATATTTCTATTACACTAAAAAGTAATTTCACAAAAGAAAGAAGGATGTATGAACATGTATGGACATATTTCATATATAATTATACATGTTTATGAATAATTATGCGTGCTTATGTATGTTTATACATATTTATACATATTCATGCATGAAAAATTTTTTTACCGGACACTATTTAGACACATGAACGCTTTGTCAAAACTTATCGGACACCCTATATATATATTACAATTATTAATATTTAATACAATAATACAATAAAATTATAACAAGATAAACGCGATGTCTATGACAGAAATAATTCTATCGTAGAAATATTGTTGCTGTATCAGTATTAGACAATTGCGCGGAAATTGCACCAATACTATATTAAAAAAAAAAACCGTCGACGGGAGTAATTTACTGCGTAATACAAAGGTTTGCTGCGAACGTAACAGAAAATCACACTGAAGTCTACTCTATAATCGGGAAAACGCTAGATTAATTAAGCTGACTTGGATGAACTTTTGAAGTTCAAGCGATAGAATTGTTAATCTTTTATTGTTTGATATGAAAGATGAATTAAAGATTCAGCAGACATGCTTTATGAAATTTAGAATTTTACTACGAGTCTTGCCGCTTCGGTTCAAGTTAAATTAGATTAAATTAATACTCGAGCAAAATCATTCTTTAATTTATTATGTAGAACTTAATCGGCGTCAGTGAGGTATAGTGGAATCGCTGTAATGCCCAGAGCGAGCCACGATGCATGAACATCCGTCCACGGCTCACAGCTCGGCAGTGCAAAAGCGAAACGCCAGTTGTGCATAGACAGTCGTCGACGAGCTTTCGGCTATCATGGTCACGTTGCCCTCAGCTGCTGGTAGTACAAACATAACCACCACTTGGCCGGTGCATTGCGGTCATAAAAGCCGCTTGCTTCAACGGCCGTGCTCGTACCAGTACGTAAATTAACATAAATGCTATTTTTGTTCCGGCCGTGCGTATAAATCGCGTCGTATCGATCGTCCGCCGGGTTGCACGTCACTCTTGGAACAGTTCTTGTGTGTGCTCTGAAAAAGATAGTGTGTCGATCGATGCTTTTTGAAACAAGGTCAGCTTT